AGAGCTTCTTGAAGTAGTGGCTGCAGGCCGCCAGCACGGCCCTGTGGGTGCGGTACTCCAGACCCTGCGTTCGGATGGTGAGGTCACACAGGTGGCCCAGCTGGCGCTGCTCATTGAGGCAGCTCAGGAGCTCACTGCTGTGGTCGGGGAACGGAATCCCAATGAGGTCATCCTCTGGGCTCCCCATCTTCTCCTGCAGTGGCAAACAGAGGAGAGGAGCAGGGTAAGAACTCGCAGCCCTGCCTGGGGGTGGCCTGGGGGCCAGCAGCCTTTATGGGGCACTGACGAAGGTTCCCCGGTTTGTGACAAGCCTGACAGCAGAGCTCTCCTTGAGTTTTCTAGGCTGTGGCCCTTACCAGATGACCTTACCCGGGCTTTTCCCTTATTGAGCCGCCGGTGGATTCGCACCACTGACCTTCCCAGGAGCAGCCCGGCATCTAGCCATTGTGCCCCACTGGAGCCCCGTGCCAAATTCTTTCCCTCTGAAAGATTCCCGCTGAGCCAGCCCTTCCACACACAAGGGGGGCTGAGGTTCAGATAGGTGAGGTGGCCTTCCAAAGGACGTGAGGAACAAACTGAACGCACAGCCCCAGACAGGAGCACTAACTGCCAACTGCGCCCCAAGCCTGCCTCTGTGGGCCTGTCCTTTCTGACCCCTTCCTCGGAGGAATGAGATCCGTGCCCATCCCCCAACCCACTCTCAGGCCCTGTGGAGGGAGCCTGGGGGACGGGCCTGGAAGAAGGTGCTTGGGTCTGGGTGCAAGCTTAATGAAGAAGTGGGTGAAGGGACTCCTGGTGGCTCTGGCCACCGGCCTCAAGTCATCTGAAAGGTTGGGCGACAGCCTGTGCAGGCGGACCTCCTCGCGGCCAAGGGGAATGTTCGGGTTCCCACTGGCCCAAGGTCAGCTCGAGGCCAGGCACAAGGCAGGCACGTTGGCCCCCGTCCTCGCTCTCCAAACCGTCCGGTACAGCAGCTAAACACTGTGCAAACACCAAGTGCGCCCGCTCCCGGCTCCTCACGGCTCTCCCCGGCCACCAGAAGTTCATCTCCCCTTCTAGTAGACACTACACGGGAAACACAGCTCCCAGCAG